GCATAGGGGTTGCATCACTGGACTTACACATGGCAGATCACAGTTTCAGTCCTGACCTGGTCGCTTGAAAATCATGATGGGCACGTGTGTGTGCATGTCCAAGACCCCAGGAGGAGAACAGAGGAGGAAGGGATTGCAGCTTGGCCATCCCCTTGGGGGGGGGGTGATTTCTCACTTTCCCTCTCATCATCCCTGTCTGTCTCTTTCTGTCTGGTACATATCCTATGCCAAAACCTCTTTTTTAAAAAAAAAAAAAAAAAAAAAAAAAGAGTGAACGGCATCTTGAGGGATAAAATCCAAAATAAGAACCTTTCTCTCTTTGAAAAAGTTTTCTTTGAAGCAGTCATACTTATAGAATCTAGACTTAGCACTGAGTGTGCTTGTAGCTATTGAGAATAAAGATGACTGGTTCATCTGCACGCTGGTGTTCAGAGGATTTGAAGCCAAGTTTGAGGTGCTGAACAACATTGAGCTGGGCCACAAACTAAGCTAATTGTGCCTCTTGAAATTTTTGTTTCTATGGTGTATAATGTAAATTAAATCACCACTCATCTTTATCCTTTACCTTCCATTCAAGTTAATAAAGTTAACAATATACTTATGTATATAGGTATAGTTATGTATATGTCTAAGGGGATTTTAGAAAGTTTGTGGGAAAATGGAATTAAAGTATAAGTTTAGTTTGGAAACAAAAGTTTGAAATCTATGTGTAGTTTTTTCATAATACACATTTTCCATTAACTTTTTGAAGATCCCTCTGTATAATGTATTTAATACATTTTAAAATGTATATAAATACAAGTAGAAACTGTAACCAAAAAGTAAAATAATTTCTGGTATTCGAATAGTGTCACACACCTGGTGTGATTTTCAAGCCACCAGGTCTGGGACTTGAACCATGATCCACCATGTGGGAGTCCAGCGATGTAACTGCTACACTATCTGCTGGCCCCTTCTGTGTGCTTTTATAAGAGCAAACCTTTTCTGCAAAGTTTCTGGCTTTCTGATAGTTTCTTGAATGGATTAGGTGATGCAATTGCTATGTGCTGCACATACCTCAGTTTTGAATAGCCAGCCCTCTTCCTTCACCTGAAAAAGCCCAGTTGCAGTTCTGTTCAGGCCCACCCTAATCCAAAAGAAGTTGTAAAAGACAGTCAAGTCATGAAATTTTCAATCCAGGTCATTAATTTTTAATAACATTTTAATTGAGATATAATTCACATACCATAAAATTCACCCTTACAAATTGTACACTTGAATGGCCTTTAATATATTCATAGAGTTGTGCAACCATCACAACTGTCTAATTTTAGAACATATGCATCACCTCAAAAAGAAACTCTAGTTAAAGTTTGAAACTTTTGTACCTCAAAGGACACCACCCAGAAAGTAAAAAGCTAATCCAAGGATAGGAGAACATATTTTCAAATCATTTATCTGGTAATAGACTTATACCTAAAATACACAAAGGACTTTTACAACTCAATACTAAAAAGACAACCCAATGTAAAAATGAATCAAGGACCTATTAGACATGTCTCCAGAGAAGATATATAAATGGCCAATAAACACATGAAAAGATGTACAACATCATTAGCCAAAAGGGAAATGAAAAAACCACAAAGAGATGCCACTCACCCACTAGGATGACTTTAATCAAAAAGACAGACAATAACAAGTGTTGGCAAGGATATGGAGACTTGGAACCCTCACATATTGCTGGTGGCAATGTAAAATAGTGTAGCTGCTTTGAGAAATAGTTTGACAGTTCTTTAGAATGTTAAACAAAGTTACTTTGTAATCTAGCAGTTCCTCTCCTAGAGCTGTACCTAAGAGAAATTAAAATATATTGGGTTCTCAGGAAATTCATGATGCATTTTCGCAATCATGATTTTCCCAATGACCTCATATGTTCACCGTTAATGTGTACACAAGGTTCCTTTTGGGGATGGTGGAAATGTTCTAAAATTAGATTGTGATGATGGTTGTACAACTGTATGAATATACTAAAAAGCATTGAATTGTATGCTTTGAATGGGTGAGTTATATTCTAAGCAATTTATATCTCAGTAAAGCTTTTTTTTTTTTTTTTAAGGTTTTGCCATAGGGCATGTATGCTTGCCAGAGAGAGACAGACAGAGAAAGAGAAAGTGAGAAATCACCCACTCAATGGGGATGTCCATGCTGCCATTCCTTTTCCTCCATTCTCCTCTCAGGATTTTGGGCACACATCCCCATATGCCAGTGTGATTTTCAGGCCACTGAATCAAGTACTCAAACTGTGGTCAGCCATGTGGGAGTCTATAACACTTTAATAATCACACCCCAAGTAAAGTTATTTTTTTAAGAGATCAAAACAAACAAAATAGGAATACTTAATTCAGAAACCAGCAGGTGGTGTGGTGCTGGGCACTCCCACATGGCCGACCATGGTTCTTTCTCAGACCTGGTGCCGTGTGTGTGTGTGTGTGTGTGTGTGTGTGTGGTCGAATTAAGATAAATAAATGAAATTAAATAAAAGGTTATTTAAATAAAAGAATACTTACTCACTAACGCCCACTAGCAGCCACTTCTCATCCCTACCCTGCTCCTCACAGGCCACGAAAACCACTTACCTACGTTATGCCTGTATGGATTGGCCTAGACTTGACATTCATGTAAATGGAATCATACAATCTGTAACTTTTGCGTCTGTCTTCCTTTTTTAGTATGTTTTCATAATCTGTGTTGCAGCATGTATAGGTACTTAATTCCTTTTTATTGCCAAACAATACTCCACTGCATGAATGTACCACATTTTGTTTATCTATTAATTAACTGATGGGTGTTAGAGTTGTTGCTACTTTTTGACTATTGTGAATAATGCTGCTGTGATAATTTGTGTACATATTTTTGTGTGGACATGTGTTCATGTTCAGTTCTCTACCTAGGAGTAGAATTTCTGAGTCTCATAGTAACTCTGCATTTAACTTAAAAAAAAAAAAAAAGTATAGAATGTATGTTCATTCCAGAGAAAGACAATGAAAGGGAAAGTGAGAAACCATCCCCCTAGGGAGGATGGCCACATCACAATCCCGTCTCCTCCATTTTCCTCCTGGGATTTTCTGCGCATACACACACGCCCAGTGTGATTTTCAGGCCTCTGTGTCTGGGACTCATACATGGTCGGCCATGTGGGAGTTCAGTGCTGTAACCACCATGTTACCTGCTGGGCCCTGGGCCCTGCATTTAACTTTTTTGAGGAACTACCAGACTGTTTTCTAAAGTTCTGTACAGTTTTACAATCCAGTTCCATGAGCAACTGCTTTTTAATTGAAGATTAGTTATATATATCTCAAAGTGTGTCCCAAGTCCTTGGCCAGATTTTCTGTTTTGTCCTTCATATCCTTTAGATAGAGATTTAAAACCATAATTGTAAAGCTTTTTCATCCCTCCTCCACTTACTCCCTAATTTCAAGGTTCTCTTGAATCATATAGATTCCACCCAGCGGCTCTTCCCAGGAATCTTACTGACAGAGCTCCTTTGAGAGCTTTTTTTCTTTAATAATAGATTATATTCCTCAGGCTTCTATATCCTTTTGAAAAATTCATCTTTAAAAGATATGTAAAGTTTTATTCTTAATGCTAGAGCTGTATTGGACACAAAAAATCTCTATTTTCTCCCTTAGTTATATCTTTTATTATTGTAATTTCTGATTTACATATAATTATTGTACATCTTTATGGGACACAGTATGGTTTTTTAAAGCATGTACACAGTATGTAATAACCAAGTATGTAAACATATTCACCATCTTTACCCGTTAGCATTGTATTAAATTGTATACATTTGAAATTCACTGTACAGGTTTTTTTGGAAGTACGTAATTATCAGCAATGTTCTCTGAATGCATTCTTGTGTTTTTTAATCAGTTTCTCCCAATTCTCCATCCTCTTCTAGCTTCTAGTATCTCCCATTACTCTCTCTACTTTTTTTTTTTTAAGAGAGATTTTTGTTATAGGGCACCTGCGCTCACCAGAGAGACAGAGAGACAGAGAGATAGAAAACAAGAAATCACCTCCCGGGGGGGGATGGCCCCACCACAGTCCACTCTCCACTCTCCTCTCAGGATCTTGGCCAGATACGCACATGTGCCCAGTGTGAGTTTCAAGCCGCTGGGTCTGGGATTTGAACCACAGTCGACTACATGGGAGTCCAGTGACATAACTATTACACCATCTGCTGGTCCCTCTCTCTGCTTTTATGTCACAGTGTCCTTTTGCTTCTACTAGTAAGTGATGATATTTGGCATTTGTTAAGTGGGGACATACAGTGTTTGATTTTCATAGCCTGACTTATTTCACTTACCATTGTATCGTCTAAGTTCACCCATTTTGTCTCCAATGAATGAATTCATTGTTCTTTATGGTGAAGTAGTGTCCCACTCTGTATACATGCCACATTTTCTTTATCCATTCATCATTTATGGGCTCATAGGTTGATTCTGTGTTTTAGTTGTCATGAATATTGCTGCAATAAACATACAGCTGTATTTTTGTACACTCTACACCTGTACACCTAGCACGGCACTGTATGATGTCCCTAGGGCCTTGGTGTAGGACTTGTCCAGCCTGTGTCTGTTCCCACAGTCGCACAGTCCAGTGAGAGGAGTCAGAAAATCATCCTCAATGTAGTCATCCAGTACTTGTCCTCAGATCTATTTATATTTTCAGCCTCTACCACATCTTAGGAGGAAGAGAGTAACAGATTCCAAGCATGGGTTACTCAGGTGGTTCCAAGATGGCCTCTGTACACCTTTCAGGATTGCTGCTCTAGTCAACTTAGAAATTGGTGAAATTGTGATTGCTCTTTCTATGCCATTAATAACAGAACAGGGTATTTCCTTCCAAGCCATAATCTTCTCTTATAATAAGCATGATGTTTTTATTCCATTCCTGCCCACAGACTATCTGCATAATGTGTTCACAGTCTCTAGGTGCTAGGCCAGCTACTTCTCTTTCCAGGATACAGTGTACACCTCTGGGCCTGGCACAGAGTGGGCCCACATTGCTCAACAGATGCTGCTGAGTGGAGGGAGACACTGTTTTGTAAATGCAGTGTCATGTTCCAGACCTCACTTACCTGCTGAGCATACCATGCTATCTTCTTTTGCAGGCTATCGGCTGTACTCTGAACTGTAGCTGCCAAAGTTTCAAACCCGGGAAAATAAACCATCGTCAGTGTGAGCAGTGCAGACACGGATGGGTGGCCCACGGTAACTATTTCCCCTCTCTCCTGGCCTATAGTGTTCCTTTTAAATAACTTAGTTATTTAGGAACTAATTTAATATCTAAGAATGAGCTAACTAGTAAGTTACTAGTTGTGCCCAGTAATAAACTATGTTATATGCTCTTTGAATTTTATCAACTTTATGTAGCAAACTTTTTATTAAGCTCATTCTGAAGATGGAGATGTGCTTTGGTGCTATCATTTTGCAGTGGTAGAAATGTTCTACACTGGGAGCCAGCAGGTGGCATGGTGATTAAGGCACTGGATTCTACAGGGCCAACTCCACAGTATGAATTCCAAACCCCAAGACTTGAAAAACACACTGGGTGCATGTGTGTATGTGCCTGAAATCTCAAGAAGAGAATGGATTGTGGTGTGGCCATCCCCTCTGTGGGGTGATTTCTCACTTTCTTTCTCTCTGTCTCTCCAGTACACATCTAATGGCAAAAATCCTTTAAAAAAAGAAAAGAAAGAAAAAAATGTTCTGTGTTTTCTAATATGGTCACCTCTAGCCTAGGGTTACCAGATAAAATACAGAATGCTCAGCTAAATTTGAATTTCAGATAAATAGTGAATAATTTTTTAGCCTATATGCCCCAATAAATATTTAATATAAGCATATCTCATGCATTGTTTATCTAAAACTTACACTCAGCTCTAACTAAACATTTTGGGGTTGTTTTGTTGTTGTTTTCTTGAATGTGACAGCCCTATACTAGTCACTTGCTTGTACTTGAAATGTGACTGAAGAACAGATTTCTAATTTTATTTAATTTTAGTTTATTTTTGTCTAAACTTAAATAGACATATGTGGCTGGTAGCTTTTGTGTTAGACAGCTTAGATTCAGGTAGCTCATCAAGTTCCAAAACTAGAAAGTGGCAGATGAGGGCTCGTACCCAGATCTGTTAGATTCCCAAGCCCAGGTTCTTCACCTCCAGACTCTAAGCTTCATAATTATTTATGCTCTAGATTATACACCTACCACCTTTGTTTTTCTCCCATTTTCTGTTCCTTGTCTATTTGTGACTCCTTCAGCATATCATGAGAAAGAAAAGTCTCAGCCTTTCAGTTTATTTTAGGAACTGTCTTTGAATAACTTGAAGCTTGTTGGCCAGTAAGGTTGTTAATCATTTGCGTATTTATGTTTTTTTGAGTTGGAACAGATCACTGAGAATCAGCCTTAGCCTACTTTCTGTGCAGCCTTCCTCTTAAAATATGAACTTTTCAAAAACAATATCTCTTTGTCTTGATTTTTTTCAGCTCTAAGTAAGCTGAGGATCCCCCCAGTGTATCCAACGAGCCAGGTGGAGATTGTCCAGTCCAATGTGGTGTTTGATATTAGCAGCCTCATGCTCTATGGGACCCAGGCCATTCCTGTTCGCCTGAAAATCCTCCTGGACCGGCTCTTCAGTGTGTTGAAGCAGGATGAGGTTCTCCAGATCCTCCATGCCTTGGACTGGACCCTGCAGGATTATATACGTGGATATGTGCTGCAGGTACTGTGACCATGGCCCCTGTTCTCTGAGCGTGTCTTCTGAAATCCATGCTCCTGTAACTGATGTAACTTAGTTGCCTTCCAATGCTGCACTGCTGGTGGTCATCCCTCCCTTTAATGTTTGTTTCTAATGGCTTAATCCCCTACCTCAAGTTGTAGAGGGAGTCCAGTGCTTTCCTCAAAATCTCTGTGAAACGTTAAGATGTGCTAAATTTACGTAGGTCCTGATTTGGGTTTCACTAAGCCAGCTCTTCCACAGTAAATCACTGCCTCATCTTGGGTGCTGTCTCCTTTTCTTTTATTTTCCCCAGATTACCAAGTGACACAAGATGCTATCTGTACCAGATTTTATTGAGAGTTTGCAGGATGTGAAAGGGAACCTACATTACACAATCACACAGCAAACAACTTAGAATTTCATGCCACAACTTAGAATTTCATGCAAGTGTAAAAGAGAGAGAGAGAGAGAGAGAACATCCCTCAACAGGGATGGGTCACACCATGATCTTTTTCCTTCAATTCATACCATCCTGTCAGGATCCTCGACATGTGCACATCATGCACCCAGCATGAAGCCAGAGGACCAGGACTTGAACCCCCGTTGGTCATGTGGGATCTGGCTTTCTCTATGCAATGCCCAGTGACTGCACTATGAGGACAGAGTCTTCTTGTGATCTTTCTGTGTTCATGTACTTGCTTGTTCTCTGTGCCCCCCGCCCGCCCCAGTTCTCTTTTGGCCTCAATTTCCTTCCTTCCTTCCTTCCTTTCTCCCTCTCTCTTTCTTTCTATTGTTCCCTGCCCTGCATCCCTTCTCTGCTTTTCATTTTGCAGAGCAGTTTACTTACCTTCTCAGACCCTTCATGCTGTGGGTCTAGACCTCATGTATCAGATCCAAAGAGGCCATTAAGGTGTTTATACAAGCAAAGAACACATTTAACATGTTTTAACATGTTTGCTGAGATGAATGATATCACTCCTTTGAAATATGAAACAGCTATAGCATTTTTTTTCCTTGCCACTACACTAGAAAATATTAGCTAATTTTGGTAAAATTTCAAGAAAATGAAGAATGAATGAATGTATTTTCAAGACTAGCATAGACTTCAGTCTTACTCAGGTAGACCTTGTCATTAAAATGAACACTAAAGGGACCACCAGATGACATAATGGTTACTTTGCTGGACTCCCATGTAGTCAACTGCAGTTTAAGTCCCAGACTCAGCCACTTAAAACTCGCTCTGGGTGCATGTGCACGCATGCCCAAGATCCTGAGAGGAGAAGGGATTCCAGCATGGCTATTCCCCGGAGGGGGGAAAGGGGGGTGATTTCTTGCTTTCTGTCGCTCTCTGTCTTTCGGGTGAGTGCACGTGCTCTATAGTAAAAATCTCTCTTAAAAAAAAAAAAATGAATGCTGAAAACAACCGCTTACTGATATAGACCTTCTTCCAATAATCTTATAGGTAGATACATTATCCCCATTTTGCAGTTGAAAACTCATATTCTTAGAGTCATTCAAAATCTTGCTGAAAGTCATTTCACTAATAAAAGGGATCTTCAAAATGTTCATAGAAAATGTGTATTATGAAAAAAATATGCACAGATTTCAAAAATTTTTTACATCAAAACTCGTACTTGAATTCCATTTTCCACAAACTTCTTAAAGTCTCCTTTTATGTGACAGAATTTGAATGTACTTCTTTCTAACTCTAAAGCCCATAATCTTTCCTGGGAAACACATTTGCTCACCTCTAGTGCAGGACCCTCAGCAGGCTAGAAACAACCATTTATGTAGAGTAGCATTATTATCTTACATTATGACATAGATCAATATTTAATGATCCTAATAATCTTGCTTTCTAGTGTTAGGATTAAAAATATGGAATCAATTACCTTGAACCTCTAGTGCATGAAAAATTTATGATGTTACATTCTTCATCATCTTCAAAACTCTTACATGCACTGTGAAAAATCTCAGTAGGCCATCAAATACATGTTCTGTGATAAAATATTTATTGTAGTTTTGGGAAAAGTTAGGCCTTGCTAGAGTTTGAAAGATCTCCAACACTCCAGTGTAATTACAGCCCTGCTTTGTGAACACCGGCAATAGATCAATACGGGTTCATTTGTTTTCTGATGTTAGTTGCTGGGGAAGATGATTAAACTTATAGCAAATGAACACTTGAGCTATGTCTAGGTCTAACTGCTCCACCTACACTCTTTTAAAAAGCTACTGTTCATATGGTACATATTTTAATTTTAGTGGAGAAAATTATTATGCCTAATGTAAGACACTGATTGGTTTGAAATAGGTGAAAAATAATCACCATATTTCCCTGACTTTGGCTTGAGTAATGTAATTTTATTTCTCTCTTTGGAACTAGTTGAAGAATCTCTGCTTACATTTGTGCAGTTTATGTTCTACACAAAGTTTCCAGCCTGGGAGAGTTAGATGAGCTGGGGCTGAACTCTACAAGCCCTGTACTCATCCAGAGAAGGTGTCTTTTTCTGATACGCCAAAGGTGCCCTGTAGTCTAGTGGAGGCCCTGACCAAGAAGCTACTTTCTGAGGGAAAAGAACAGGGAGTAGAACATTGATCATACTTCTACTTTCTGGTTTGTCTTTAGGATGCATCAGGAAAGGTGTTGGATCACTGGAGCATCATGACTAGTGAGGAAGAAGTGGCTACCTTGCAGCAGTTCCTTCGTTTTGGAGAGACCAAATCCATAGTTGAGCTCATGGCAATTCAAGAGAAAGAAGAGCAACCCATCATCATTCCACCTTCCACAGCAAACGTGGACATCAGGGCGTTCATTGAGAGCTGCAGCCACAGGGGCTCCAGCCTCCCCACTCCCATGGACAAAGGAAACCCCAGCAGTATACACCCCTTTGAGAACCTCATAAACAACATGACTTTTATGCTGCCTTTCCAGTTCTTCAACCCTCTGCCCCCTGCGCTGATAGGGTCACTGCCTGAACAATATATGCTGGATCCGGGTCAGGACCAAAGTCAGGAACCCAAACAGGAAATCCACAGGCCCTTTCCTGACAGCAGCTTCTTAACTTCCAATTCCACAGCATTTCAGGTTGAAAAAGATCAGTGTTTAAACTGTCCAGATGCTGTTACTACAAAAGAAGACGGTGCCCATTTGAGTGACTCCAGTTCATACAACCTTGTTGCTAAGCTGGAAAGGACGCAGTTATCCCCTGAGGTCAAAGTGAAGCCAGAGAGGAACAGCCTCAGCACCAAGAAAGGCCGGGTGTTCTGCACTGCGTGCGAGAAGACCTTCTATGACAAAGGTACCCTCAAGATCCACTACAACGCCGTCCATCTGAAGATCAAGCATAAGTGCACCATTGAAGGGTGTAACATGGTGTTCAGTTCCCTGAGGAGCCGGAACCGCCACAGCGCCAACCCCAACCCTCGGCTGCACATGCCAATGAACAGAAATAACCGGGACAAAGATCTCAGGAACAGTCTGAACCTGGCCAGCTCTGAGAACTACAAGCGCCCAGGTTTCACAGTGACGTCTCCAGACTGTAGGCCTCTCTCCACCTATACTGGTTCAGGGGAGGATTCCAAAGGCCAACCAGCCTTCCCAAGCATTGGGCAAAATGGCGTGCTCTTTCCCAACCTAAAGACAGTTCAACCAGTACTCCCTTTCTACCGCAGTCCAGCCACTCCTGCCGAGCTGGCAAACACACCCGGGATGCTGCCTTCTCTCCCTTCATTGTCGTCTTCAATCCCAGAACAGCTGGTTTCAAATGAAATGCCATTTGATGCCCTTCCCAAGAAAAAATCCCGGAAGTCCAGCATGCCTATCAAAATAGAGAAGGAAACTGTGGAAATAGTGAATGAGAAGAGGCAGATCCTCAGCTCAGATGAAGACACGCCCCTGCAAGTGGTCAGTGAAGATGAACTGGAGGCCTGCAGTCCTCAGTCAGACAGAGTGTCTGGGGAGCAGCACATGCAGTCAGGAAACTTAGGGATCCCTCTCCCAGAAGGACAGAGGCCCTGCCATCTTGAATCAGTGTTGGAGTCCAGTGGCACCATCAGCCAAACCCCTGAGCAGACCACACACAACTCAGATAGGAACACTGAGCAGAAACTAGCTTTGACCATGGCATCAAGGGAAGTGGAGGGTGGTGGCCGTGAGCATCACTTCACACCTGGGATGGAGCCCCGAGTTCCTTTTCCTGACTACATGGAACTGCAGCAGCGCTTGCTGGCTGGGGGACTCTTCGGTGCTTTGTCCCACAGGGGAATGGCTTTTCCTGGTCTTGAAGAGTCTAAAGAACTGGAGCACGTGGGTCAGCAGGCATTGGCAAAGCAGAAGGAAGAGAATCGCTTCCAGTGTGACATCTGCCATAAGACCTTTAAAAATGCTTGCAGTGTGAAAATGCATCACAAGAATATACACGTCAAAGAAATGCACACGTGCACAGTCGACGGCTGTGATGCCACCTTTCCTTCCCGCAGGAGCAGAGACAGGTAAGGCATCTGTTGGCAGTCACTTTTTTAAGATAGGGGTTCTTAAACTTCAACATGCACCTGGAGCGTGGTTGCAACTCCTGATCCAGGTGCAGTAGCACAAGCAGTTGGGCACCATTGCCTGAATCTAGGGCCACTTGGGAAGCCTAGTTGGTTCCTAAACCAACCTAAAACAGATGGGTGTGGTAGAGTCCACCTGTGATCCCAGCCAACTGGGAGGCTGGAGCAGGTGGATCTCAACAAAGTGAGACCTTATCAAAGTCTATCTTTCTTCTCTCTCTCCATTTCTTTGATTAGTATGTACACACACACACACACACACACACTCTTACAAACACTTCTGAGCCCGACTTACCAATTTCTACTGCAGTAGGCCTGGAGTTGAGGCCTGAGAGTTTCCTTGTGATGATGATGTTGCTGTTCTGGGGGCCACAGTTTGAGAAACTCTGTTCTGTGAATTTTCATATTTTCACATAAATGAGTTTTCTATTTTAAAAAATCTAAATTCTGGTCAAGCTAGTGACATGGTGGTTCAGGAGACTGGATTCCTCATGTTGACTGCGTGATCCCAGTCCCAGACCCAGTGGCTTGAAAAACACATTGGGAGCATAACGTGCATGTCCAAAATCCCAAAAGGAAGGAGAAATGAAGAACAAATTGTGGTGGGGCCATTCCCCATAGAGGGTGCTTTCTCTCTTTCTCTCTCTCTCTCAAGCACACATGCACTCTGGTAAAAATTTTAAAAATTAAAAAAAAACTAATAATGTGGCTGTAAAACTTGACCTGAAATGATGTGAGGCTATTGTAGTTTTTCAAACTTTTTAAATGTGCATATTTTAGGTATACTCAGTACAGAAATATTAATGGGTTTATTATAGGATATTAACGTAATATTTCAGTATATACATCATTCTGCCTTGTGATATCTGATAAATTCTGAATTCAAAAACATCTAGGACCAGCAGGTGGCATAGTGGTTAAGGTGCTAGAGTCTCACATGGTTGACCATAGTTTGAGTCCCGGACCTGGTGCCTTGAAACTCACACTGGGCATGCCCAAAATCCAAGAGCTCAATAGGGAAGAAGGGATTGTGGCGTGCCCATCACCCATAGGGGGTGATTTCTCACTTTCTCTTGTCTCTGGAGTGCACATGTCCTAATAGCAAAAATCTCTTAAAAAAAAAAAAAGAGAGAGAGAGAGAGAGAGAGAGAAACAAACAAATATATCTACCCTCCAAGGCTGTGGGATAAGGAGTCATTAACTAGTTCTCACATCAGCAACTTGGGTAAAAAACAGCTATTTAAAGAGGTAGAAGGAGGGAGCTTTTTCTTAAAACTTGTTGATTTTCATTTTGTAAGGTAAAGTCCATCAATTGAAACATTTTTTTCTGATTCTAAGGTGATTGGCAAGTTGTTTCACGGACTATGATGTGTGCTCAAAGATTCTGGGTTTTCATATACCCACACATACTGTTTACAAAATGCCCATCCATGGAGTGTATCTCGTCGTTCTGGGGACACAGCGCTGGCTTTCACAACCTGCTTGTGCTTTTCTTCATGAACTTGTGTCACGTAATTACTCTCTCCAGGTCTCCCTCCTCCCCAGCCTATAAAAGGAAGAAAAAATACACCAAAAGATGAACCTGGGAGACTCAAAGAAAGGATCACCTCTCTGTGGAAATGCAGTATGAAAAATGCTAAGCAGTTCACAAGAAATTAAAATGCTACATTTGCTGAAACAGGCTTTACTTGAAGCAGCTCAACACCACTAACTGAATCCAAATTGTCATGCCTAATTTGTTAAGAAGGTGCAAATATACAGACTCCCACACACATTCCTAGACAGGATTCATAAGAACACATTCATTGTCTTTAGCAAGAGGATAGCACACAGGAGATATTAGGTAAAATTCCTGTTTCTGTTGCTAGGATGTTTAACTAAACTACCAGGGTACCCTAATTAGTGAACCAGTCCTTCTCCTTTGCCCTCCAAGGGGAGGAATATTTGTTCATGAATAAGCCGTTGTTTCGAAGAAGGCATAGTTCTATTGGTCAGATTATTCTTGATATTTACGATATCATTTTAACCTATGGTATCTACCAAATTAAAAAGCATATTGGATTCAAGGTAGTCTTCAATTTTACATTTATTTCTTCCCATATTTAATATTTTCTTCTGTTCTGACCTATTTGACTACCACCACAGGAACATATATGTATATTCTAAATTAAACTACTAATTCTAGTAGTCTAAAACCTAGAATCCCATCAAATCTATGATTAAGACAGCATTTTTAAGGTGTTTTTGTTTGTTTGTTTGTTTTGTTTTGTTTTGCCATAGGGCGAGTATGCTCTCCAGAGAGAGGCAGTGAGAGGGAAAGTGAGAAATCACTCCCCGCAGGGATGGCCATGCCTCAATCCCTTCTCCTCCCTTCTCCTCTTGGCATTTTGGGCATGCATACACATGCCCGGCATGATTTTCAAGCCACTGATTCCGGGACTCAAACCATGGTCAGCCACATGGGAGTCCAGTGCCTTAACCAGCATGCCACCTCTGGCCCTAAAACAGCACCATTTTAAATAGGGTTTTGTGGGTAGGCCCAGGTCCACCACGCTTTCTCTGAGTCAGAGGTGAGAGCCACATTGCCGTAAGGGCAGTTCATTTCCCCTCTTTGAGTCATTGCTGTCAACAGCAGTTGCTAGGACACATCAGAAGAGGTCTAAGATGGCACCCTGGATGCTCACTTAGCCAGTGAGTATTCATTAAGAACCCTCTGAGGGCCAGCAGGCATAGTGGTTAAGGCACTGACTCCCTTGCGGTCAACGGTGGTTTGAGTCCTGGATCCAGAGGCTTAAAACTCATGGCAGGCACATGGGTGTGCATACCTAAAATCCTGATAGGAGACTAGAGGAGATGGGATTGCAGCGTGGCTATTCCGAGGGGAAGGATGATTTCTCACTTTCTGTCTCTGTCTCCCCAGCGAGCACATGCACCCCATAGCAAAACCTCTCAAATAAAAAAAAAAAAAAAGAAAGAAAGAAAGAGCCCTCTGTATTAGATGCTATGTGACATAATCCCTGTAGTGGGGGGGAGAGAAAGCAGGAAACAGGTGATTATAGCTAATGTAATGACTGCTACAGTCCGAGAAATGTAGGAGGGTGCCTAACCAGACCCCTAAAGAAGTTAGGCAAAGGCTTTCTTGGAAGAAGGGGTATGTCTTAACCAGTGGCTTTCAGATGTGTTGGTCTCACAACCTTTTTACATATACTTAAAACCTAAGGACTTCCAGGAGTTTTTCTCTGTTTGGGTTATAGCTATCAGTATTAACCATATCAGAAATGAGGACTAAAAAAAAAATTATTATGTCACTTAAGCCCAGACTAGCAGGTGGCATGGAGGTTAAGGTGCATGACTCCCACATGGCCGACCACGGTTTCAGTCTCGGACCCAGCTGTTTGAAAATCATACTGAGCGCATGTGCGTACATGTCCAAAATCCCAAGATGAAAATAGTGAAGGGATTGCAGCATGACCATCCACCCTGGGAATGGTTTCTCACTTTCCCTCTCATTGTCTCCAGCAAGAGCACACACCCTGTGGCAAAAACTTTAAATAAATAAATAAATAAATAAAAAGAATAATAAGCACGGACTAGCAGGTCACATGGTGGTTAAGGCACTGAGTCCCAGACCTGGTGTCTTACTTTCTGACTCTCTCTCTCTCTCTCTCTCTCTCTCTCTCTGGTAAGTGCATGTGCCCTATAAAAAAATTAGAAAAAATTTATAATAATAATTCAAAAAAACTTTTAAATAATAATGCACATACTATGTTAACATAGGTTCATGAAAAATAATTTTACAAAACAAAAATGTAGTGAAATGAGTGGCTTTTTTTTTTTTTTTACATTTTTGCAGATTTTTTAATGTCTGGCTTAGTGGAAAACAGCTGGATTCTCATAGCTGCCCCTGCATTCAGTTTGTTAGAATATCACATCATGTAGCCTCTGAAAAGCTCCACTGTACACTAGTGAGAGAATGAGAGTGAAAAAGGTAAACGATGCCTTAGTATTGGTACGAAATTTTAACTTCACGAACCCTTTAAAGGGACCGTTAGGGCTACTCAAGCCACAATTTGAGAAGCACTGGTCTCAACTAATCAAACTAGAGCAGAGGGGGAGAGTTGGAGGGGAGATTGGTTGAAGGGAAGAGAAGCAGAAATGGGCAGAAGACTCAGAATTAGCGAAGTCCTGGAAGCAGAAAGCCTGGCACATGATCCTGAGGGCTTTTACAGTTGTAGTTGTTGTAAGCATTGTGGCCTCTTGCAAAAAGCACCTAGCCCTTTGAGGCTTCAGAATGGGGAAAAGAGCCTGCATGTTATCTCATGGGAAACTCGGCAGTTAGGCATGAGGCCCCAGGTTTCCTTTTCTTTTTGTACAGTAGGGATGGGTCTTCTGTATGAGGGTCTAGTAAATGTGTGTATCTGACTTTGTTTTTAACTACTCATATATACTGGGACCTGTCAATCCAGTGTCTGGTTTTCGGCCGACACATACCAGTCCCTTCAGCCTAGAATGCTGACCTAATCCCGGGGGAAAGTTGCAGTTGAGAAGAGCTGCTTGCAAAGTGGGTGATCTCGGAGTATACTTCTGATTATGTTCAGGAAAAAAGTGTGGAAGGGTAGACGAGAGACATTAAGTACATTTTATAGATCTTATAGAATATACGTGATTAAACTCCCTCATACATACATTCAAGTACTTGTGTTGTTGTGGGGATTTGTCGTTGTTGCTGTTGTTTAGTTTGCTAGGATACATGTGCTTGCCAGAGTGAGACATAGAGACAAAGAGAAAGTGAGAAATCATCCCCCAGGGTGATGGCTACATCACAATCCCTTCTTTTCCATTCTCCTCGGGATTTTGGGCATGCACACACACACACACACACACACACACACACACACACAGTGATTTTTCAAACCACCGGGCTGGGACTCAGACTGCACAGTTGCCCATGTGGGATCCACCACCTTAACCTCCACACCACACAATAGCTTTAGAGGCTTAGAAGGCAAAATTCAAATGTTAGTTTTTTGGGGGAGGGTATTTTCCCAAACTTGACCCTAATATACATTCTGATCTGTATTGGAGGACGTGTTTTCTCTGTTTGGAATTATTCTCCTGTCACCGTTAAGACTGTACCCCCTTGGTGAGGGCTGTTTTTGCTTAGCAGAAGTTAGCATGGCATCTCTGAGCAAGAACATTGATTTACAAGTTGCATCCAAATGATAGCATATGAGTAAAAAGCATGTGTCATAATGGATACTCATTATCTGTCCTTCAGGAGTAATCATCAGGTAGAAGATGGGTGGTATGCTTACACTGCTGCATTTGCAAAACTTCTGTCTGGTATATTGGGAAACACTGCAAATACGAACTACACACACACACACACAGTTGCTAGCCAGTTAGATTTTCACTCATCCCTATAAAACTTCTGGGTGAAGTATATGCTCCAGACCAGCACTATCCAATAGAAATAAGATGTGAGGGGCCAGCAGATGGCAGAGCGGTTACGTTGCTGGACTCCTACATGGCCGACTGTAGTTCAAATTCCCAACCAGGTAGCTTCAGAATCATACTGGGTGCATGTACATGTGCATGCATGCTCTAGATCTCTAGAGGAGTAAGGATTACGATGTGACCATCCCTTCCGGGGGGTGATTTCTCACTTTCCTTCTCACTGCCTCTGTCTCTCTCTCTCTCCAGCAAGCGCATGCACCCTAATGTCAAAACCTCTAAAAAAAGAAAGAAAAAAAGAAAAGAAATATGATGTAAGCTACATGGGAAATTTTAAGTATTTTAATACCCACATTAAAAAGGCAAATATAAACAGGTGAAGTAAGTTTTAATAACTTTTTGTAAAAGAGAGATTTTTGCTAGAGGGCATGTGTGCTCAGCTGAGAGACATAAAGAGACGGAAAGTGAAAAAATCACTTCCCAAGGCGGATTGCAGTGCTGCAATTCCCCCTCTATTCTCCTTTTGGGATTTTGGTCACGTACGCACATGCACCCAGCATGAGTGTTTTTTTGTTTTTGAGAGGTTTTAGCAATAGGGTGCTTGCGCTCACCAGGAAGACAGAGAGAGACAGAGAGACAGAAAGCGAGAAATCACCCCCCAAGGGGGATGGCCATGCCGCAATCCCTTCTCCTCCATTCTCCTCTTGGGATCTTGGGCACGCACACACACGCACCCGGCATGAGTTTAAGCTACCAGGTCCGGGACTCGAACCGCAGTTGAGTTTTAAACCTCCAGGTCCGGGACTCAAACCATGGTCAACTACGTGGGCATCTAGGTGACATAACCATTACTGGTTCCAAATTTTAGTAACATTTTATTTAATATATCCACAATATCATTTTAATACAGAACACTGGCCACATTTCAGGTGCTCAATAGCCATTGCAGTGGCTGTGGCTATCAAATTGGACAGGACAGCTGTAGAAGATAATATTTCTTCATTTTGTGAAATAAAGTCCTCTACTTAGTTCCTTATAATTTGTGACCAGTTTTCCTATGGAATCTTCTGGTTCCAATGTCTCAGTTCAACTGGCCTAAACGATATAGTCTAACCATTCTCTGTAGATGAGGTACAGGAAGGTGGGAATTGAAGAGAACTAACTGCATATTCCCAGTTTCCAGACTGTTGGCTCTCCTGGCAAACACTAACTTCTGACAAGCAGCAAGTGACAGTGGGCAGCGCCCACTAAATACACTGAAGGTCTGATGGAGGCCTCTCCCCTTACCATCACTTCTCCCATGCCGCAAGTTTTTTCCCTGGTATCTATCGTATCTCTCCACTCAAAATGACGAGTTTTTCTAAAGTAACACCCCAACCCACGCTAACCCTCTTTTCACTCTCGTAGACACAGTTCAAACCTAAGCCTCCACCAAAAAGCACTGAGCCAAGAAGCCCTGGAGGGTGGTGAAGACCATTTCCGTGCAGCCTACCTTCTGAAAGATGTGGCTAAGGAGGCGTATCAGGATGTGGCTTTCACCCAGCAAGCCTCCCAGACATCTGTCATCTTCAAGGGCACAAGTCGAATGGGCAGTCTGGTTTACCCAATCACCCCGGTCCACAGTACCAGCCTGGAGAGCTACCATTCTGGCCCACCCAGCGAGGGCACCATCCTGGATCTGAGCACTACCTCGAGCATGAAGTCCGAGAGCAGCAACCATTCTTCTTGGGACTCTGATGGGGTAAGCGAAGAAGGGACTGTGCTAATGGAGGACAGCGATGGAAACTGTGAAGGGCCAGGCCTTGTCCCGGGGGAGAATGAGTACCCTATCTGCGTTCTGATGGAGAAGACCGACCAGAGCCTTGCCAGCCTGCCTTCTGGGTTGCCTATAACCTGTCACCTCTGCCAAAAGACATACAGTAACAAAGGGACTTTTAGGGCCCACTACAAGACGGTGCACCTTCGTCAGCTCCACAAGTGCAAAGTGCCAGGCTGCAATACCATGTTTTCATCCGTTCGCAGCCGAAACAGACACAGCCAGAATCCCAACCTGCACAAAAGCCTGGCCTCCTCTCCAAGTCATCTCCAGTAACACAGTGGCAGACCAGATATGCTCTGATTTGTCCTTGTTCAGGAATAAGGTAGTCCAAAGAAACGTTTCTGACTATTTCATACCATTTGTGCAGCAAGCCAAGCAAAAAGTGTTTGTTGTGACTTCTCAGTTTTCTGCAGCAGGATGAGCAAAAGATGAACCTTGCAGGAAGTTAACACTGGGGCAGCCTTTCCCATTATTAATTTTCTTAGCCCAAGAGGTTTTTCACTGACATAAGGAAAACTTGCAGAAATGCAGGGTTTTTTTCCAGATTTGTTTACACGTTCCCTGGGAGAGCTCCAGGTCTGCAGATCGACAAAGGGAGCACAGGATTCAGAGGCAGCTTCTAGTGAAGCTTGCAGTGTTAAGGGTCTTGGAGGAGAAGACTGTCGCCATGGGCAAGATGCCAGTCCCAAAGATCACGTTTTCAGTTCTTTCTCTAATGAGTCTGAACTCCAGACTTGAGTTTGAGAAAATGACTTTTCGAGACCACCGCTTCATTGGAGTGGAGAATTGTTTCCCTCCCTCCCCTAAAGGTCTCATATGTTACCCCAGGGACTTCTCAGAGGAAGTGGGTTGGCCTCCAACATGTTCCTTGTTCATTCTGTAACACTTGTTCAAAAAGCGAGGGGGAGTATTTCATGCACTTAAAAATAGTCGTCTTCAATTTAATTTAAAGTGATTTTGATAATATTTAATTTGTGTTTGTTATATGAGTGTTTGGTATGAGTGCAGACATGTCATACTGTCACCTCTGGATCTCTGCTTGGAAGCAGAACAAACGACAATCTAAGCTTCAAAACTGCTGCCCATTTTCATTTAGTGGACTTTGGAGTCTGATCATATCGACCCCCGGTGAAATGAATGCACGCAGGATCCTGGCAGGACCATTTGTATATATTCCACTAAAGCGATTAGAGAACATGGTTCTGATGGCTGTGTATTTTCAATGTCACTGGATCCCTCGGTCTTCAGCCTTTTATAAATGTGTAAGATTAGGATGAACTTTGCAATTTACTTGGCAGAAGGAAAGTAGGACGTTATTGCCATACTGTATGTCTTAATATTTAACTTATTTTGAAATACATTTCACACTGTTGACATTGAGGCTTAATCAACCTTAGGGAATGAGGCCATCTCCTGAAATTTGACATTTACAGTATTCTAAGCACCTGTGTAAGTTAAAAGAAGTTGATTTTTGTATTCAGAGTTCAGGTTCACTGTTTCACTGTCTTTTAAACTCATGGTTGATTTAAGGGTTATAAGAGATACTGTTCCTCTGGCCTAAAAGCGAAAAACCAACAACCTGTTAGAGATTATTTCAACTTTTTAAAAAATAAATATGACAATATAAAACTTGTCTCTGCTTAAAAGAAGATGTATCCTTCAACTATTTAGCTACCCAGCTGTTTAATTTTCCAATTTCCCCAAAGTAAAAAAAAAAAAAAATTTGTATGCAAATATTTTCTATGATTTAATAAAAATACATAGCACACTTTGTTTAAAAAGACAAACATTTGTAAATACAGTTTTGTCATGTGGACTGCCTTTTGTATGATGCATGGGCTCGTGTGTGCACACAGATATGCTATGTTGAAACCCTGTGGGAGGCCTAGTGGACTAGGATCAAAACAGGAATTGCAGACAATTATGAATTCAAACAGAAATGGATATCTCATTCGGAAGAGGAGCTGGGTACAGATCTTTTTCCAAAGACAAATACAAATTCTTTTTTAAATAAGATGCTGTCAAAGATAGAAAGCAATTAAAGATTTAACCCACCTCTTATGTAGGTGAAGTTTTCAAGAACTTTAATTTCCATAATTTATCTTTTAGTTTCCTCACTTTCTTTTCCTATCCAATATATAGATAAAAGCATGATCCCACCTCCCTAGACAGGGCCCTCTCTCAACTGATCTGTTGCTTCTTATTTCACTGGAGAAAAGTCATCAGAGGGAAACCTACTCCTCTACCAGCATCTGTACTGTTCCCATTCTACTCCAAGCCAGCCCAAGCCAGCTATCTCATCTCTTTTCTGGATGACTGCAGTAGCCTCCCAACTGGCCCGTTCCTTCCATTCTTACATCTTAATGGCCATCTTACATCAAAATGGTCCTTCTGAGATGTACATCAGATCATGTAGAGTCCCAGCTCCAAACCTCTTGGCCCGGCCAGTGGCGTGGTGTAAGACAGCTGGATCCCACATGGCTGACTATGTGTGCCCAAAACTCTGAGAGAAGAAGGGATTGCAGCATGCAGGTCTGACCTCCAGGGAAGGAGATGGGGGGAGTCTGGGTGAAGGTCTCCAAGAACAAAGTGCTGCTTGAGGGAGGACCAGCAAGACCACTGGCGAGCGGTTGAGCTGACCATCAGAGCAGTCCCACATCTGAGAATGGATTCACTAGGAAGGTACCCCTGCCTTGCTGTTACTAGCTTTGAGCAGCGGGTGGGAAGGGTGCCTCCCTGGAAGTGTAGCAACGGACTTAGCACAGGAGTTGGAGTCTTTGGCCACATCTCACCTTTTTAAAGTCCCTGTGTCCTGTTAAAGGAGTTATAAACCTGCACTTATTTCTGGCTCAAAGAAGTGTTCTGGGACCAGCAGGTGGCATAGTGATTGAGGTGCTAGACTGCCACTTGGCCAAACAAGGTTCAAGTCTCAGACCAGGTGGCTTGCTTTCTCACTTTCTGTTTCTCTCTGGTGACTGCACATGCCCGGTAGCAGATTTAATCATAATAATAAACAATTATTTTAAAACATATTTTTTAAGAAGTATTCCTATTCTTTCTGAAGGTTGATGCCCTCCCGTTACCCTTCCAGTGCCTCTGAGTGCTGCTCTTCCGCTTTTCTCCTCTCCTGTTCATTACCAATCTCATCCTTTCCATCAGTTTCATCTCTCTAGCCGGTAACATTCACAAACCTCTCTCGTGTGGATGGAGAAAAGAAAGGAAAAAGTAGCCTCTGGACCTCCTCCCTTCTAGTGTTGTTTTCTCCTCCTCTTTCCACGGCCAAGGTCCTTCATAGGTTCTGCCTCTTCTCCAAGCTCTGCGCTCTCGTTTCTTCCCTTACCCTAAGAAGGGCTCCACCCCTACCAAGGTTGCTGGAGACTTCCTGGTGGTTCTCTGGTGTCATCTGGTCCTGCCCTTGAGCTTTTGCTTTTGCTCTCCTTACATTCATGCATTCTCCAGGGTTGTATCATTCGTTCGCATGATTTCCACCGCTGTCTATAGGCTCGGGCCTCCTGGGTCTGTACTTCCAACAGGAGCACCCTATAGCTGCTCTCTCTCTCTCTCTCTCTCTCTCTCTCTCTCTCTCTCTTCTTGTTTCTCTCTCTCTCTCTCTCTCTCTCTCTCATTGTTTTATTTCTCCCATGAGTGAGAGAGAGAGAGACAGGTACCCCCATCAGGGTCTTCACACTGTGTTCACCCCAGCTCCAGCCAGCCCTGGATCATGGGCACAGGCAGACCTGGCATGTTCGGGAAGTCTGGATGTGAACCCAGAACCTTCTCACATGTCAGCTGCGCAGAGCATTGCATGGCTGCCGTGCCTCCATCCAGACCCCAGAGCTGCACTCTCAATTCAGAGATGCCCACTGGAGGGGACAGAAGGTGGCGTGGTGGTTAAGGTGCTGGACTCTCAAAGGTGGCCAACCACAGTTAAAGTCCTGGACCTGACAGGCTTGCTTTCTCACTTTCCCTCTCTGGTGAACACATGTGTCAAGTTAAAAAAATTTTTTTTAAATATACCCACTGGGTATCACGGAAGTAATCTATAGCATCTTTCACTCAGCTTGTCCTAATCTCAAATTGCTAGCACAGCCACCCACCCACTCACCACGGGGCTTTACTTGGGGCCTCCAGTTGTCAATCAACAGAGAGTCTTGTCTTTTTTTAAGAATTATTTATTGTTATTTTTTCATTTGCTGTAGAGCTCACCAGTGAGAGACTGAGAAAGTGGGAAAGCGAGCCACCAGGTAGAGGGTTTAAACCAAGGTTAGCCGTGTGGGAGTCCAGCGCCTTATCCACCATGCCACCTGCTAGCCTCTCAGCAGAGCTATTCTAAGACTTCACCTACTGTGTGCCAAGCGCCGCTGACCAAATGATGGTACATGTGGTCCCTGCCCTTGTGGAATTTAGAGTCCAGTGAAGGAGGCAGATACTAAACCAAAGAAATTTTTAAAATTACAGATGATGAAGTTCCAAAAGAGAAATTTATTTTATTTTCTACTTTTTTTAAAAATAAATATTTAGTCATTAATTTATTTTAATTTGACCAGAAAGATACACAGAGAGAAAGAGCGGGAAAGTGAGAAAGCAAGCCACCAGGTCCGATATTCAAACTGCAGTCGGCCATGTGGGAGTGTCCAGCACCTTAACCACCACGCCACCTGCTGATCCCCTTATTTTCTACTTTCTTGATAGCAACCCACCCTGCTAGATCCCTTTGCAAATGACAGGACATGGTATCAGGCGCTGCTGTGACCTTTTCTTCTTAGAGTTGGGCACTCAGTCTCCCCTCTCAGACATGTAGCTACTTAAATGTAACTCAATAGTTAATTGTTGCATGTCCCTAAATTGCTAGCCTGGTGGTGTATCATTGTTCTGTTTATATTCAAATTAAATGCCCCTGAGCATCCATCCCACACTTGAAGAAAATTGTCCTCAGAATCGCTCTTTCCCAGGCTATAAACTAAGAAGGCCTCTCAGATTCTGGGGACAAACTTTTGAATCAACAGGATTTCAAGTGACAGATGAAAACTAGCATCTTTGCCCTTACAGGGCTCTGATCGTATCTACGTGTCCCATCAAGGTCTGAAAAAACATTTATTTACCTAAGCAAGAGTCTAAGACCAAGGGGGCACAAATATGGCACATTGTCTATTTTAGAGTGTCTTTTTCTGAGTGAGCTAATCCATTTCTGATTTTACCTTATTTATTTTTTTAAAGGTTGTGTGCATTCATCAGAGAAAAAGAGAAACAGTGAGAGAGAAAGTGAGAAATCACCCCCTCCTCAAGTGGGATGGCCACACTGTAATCCCTTCTTCATTCTTCTCCCAAGATTTTGGGCATACATGCACATGTGCCCAATGGTTTTTCAAGTTACCAGGTCTGGGATTCGAACCACAGTCAGGCATGTAAAAGTTAAGAAACTTAACCACCACTATGCCACCTGCTGACACCTTACCTGATTTCTTGAAATCCACCTGTTAGGGAAGTTTACAGGCCACTGCTGCCTTTTTCTTTTTTTTTTTTTTACTACCTTCACTTTGAGATAAAATTTTTATAACATCAGATTGACTATTTTAACTATTTTATTGTAATTTTTTTTCTGCAGGACATATATATGTACTGGTGAGACAGAGAAAGAGAGGGAAGGTGCAAAATCCCCCCCAGGGGGGATAGCCATGCCACAATCCCTTCTCCTCCATTTTTTTTCATTTAGATTTTTCCTATAGGGTGTGTGTGCTCACCAGAGACAGAAAGCAGAAAAACATCCTCCACAGGGCAGGTGGCCACTCCACAATCCCTTCTCTTCCCTTCTCCCCCCAGGATCTTGGACATGCACGCCCATGTGCCCAGTGTGAGTTCGAAGTCACTGGGTCCAGAACTCGAATCGTGGTTGGCCATGTGGGAGTCCAGCAACGTATCTGCTATGCCATCTGCTGGTCCCTCTCCTCCATTCTTTTCTCAGGATTTTAGGCACGCATGGACACGTGTCCAGTGAGATTTTCAAGCCAATGGATCCAGGTAAGGTCATCTTGCAATCCTTTCTCCATTCCTTCCTCTTCAGGATTTTGGGCATGCACACACATTTGCCCCAGTGTGTCTTTTCAGGTCGCTGGGTCTGGGACTCCAACTGCATAATCAGCCATGTAGGATCTAGTTCCCTTAACCTTCACGCCACCCAGTGACCTATGGACATAGATTTTTCATTCACTTGGATATACACACAGGAGTGGAATTGCTGGGTCATATGGCAGCTGTGTGACTTTTTAAGGAACTGCCAGACAGTTTTCTAAGATCACTGATTCTTAAACATAGCTCTGCATTGTAGTCACCTCGGCAACTTTTTAAAGTTCTGTTTCCTCAGTCCCGCCCTCAAAGGTACTGATGCCAGGGACCAGCAGTTGGCATAATGGCTATGTTGCTAAACTCCCATGTAGTCGACCGCAGTTCGAGTCCTGGACCCAGTGGCTTAAACTCACGCGGGGCGCGTGTGTGTGCGTGCCCAGATTCCCAAGAGGAGAATGGAGGAGGAGGGATTGCAGCATGGCCATCCCCCCGGGGGGTGATTTCTTGCTTTCAGTCTCTCTGGTGAGCTCATGCGCCCTGTAACAAAAATTTCTCCAAAAAAAAAGGTACTGATGCTGTCCATCTGTTCTGTGGTCTTGGGGAGGGGGGGGGGTTGCTGCCAAAGCTCCCCAAGTGAGAGAACTTCTAGTACAGACAAAGGGAAGCCAGACCATTAATTAAGAATTCCT